ACTTTTCTATTGACTCCTGAAGAGCCGTTTGTACGTCTCCTGATAGTGGACAAAACTGAACGTGTTACATATTTATTTATTACAATTTAATGGGAATTAAATTTAAGTCTAAAGGCATACACAAACAGGCAAAGCCATAAGGACAATCTGTAGAAGAGTTATTTGTGACCTGTGGAGGTCTAACTGTAGTGAGTAGTTATGTTGTGCCTCTTAGCAAGCATTGTCTGACAATGCACCAAACAAAATGTATGTCCTTATAAGACACATGGAAATACTTAGTGGGAATAATAAAGTTATTGTTAGTAATGCAACACAACATGAAGTAATGCAATAATAGTCCTTTGCTATTCCACTATTATTCCATGTTACCATATGAGTCCAAGAGAATGCAGCAAATATGTATATGCTTGTACTGCACTGCAGCGTTGTATTTTGTTTTTGTCATTTGCACATGGTTTAACTTCTTGCTCATTGCTGGTTTAATGATGGTTTAACTCATTTGCACATTGCTCATACCTTTAATTTCGTTGCAGCTTTGGGTGTGGGAAAAATACTATGCAATAGCATGCATATTGTATGTTAAACCATGCCCACTATCACTTGGTCAATACAGCAAGGTCTCGGTCTGAGATTTTCCTGTTAAGACCTTAACAGTTAATACCTACTTAGTTAATAAGTAGGTATGAGTGTCTAGTGTGACACAGAATCCTATTCTATTTTACAGGAAACAGCTCTCCACCTGGCAGTTAGATCTCAGCAAAAGAAAATTGTTAAGCTGTTATTGCAGTTCAAAGCTGATATTCATGCTACTGATTGCGTAAGATTGTAATATATGTATTTAGTCAAGCCTAACAGTGGAGCTCCTGAATCAGGTTGTTCAGAGTCCAATTAGGCTAACCCAGGATAAGCGAGAATTTTTGTCGGAGTTTTGTAACTTTGCAGTGAGGTTTCCTGTATATTCTTTGGCCCTCTGTTTTGAGTTTGAATAATCTCAAAATACACAAAACAAAAGTAGTGAAAAATAAATTTGTATACAAGAAAAACTTATCATTCGGTTAACTTTTAATCCTGGGTTAGCATTAACCAGCTTCCGAACAACCTGGCCCTGTTTACAACAAGTTAACTTGACATAAACCCATGATCCAATCGAAAACCAGCACTTGGTCAGCAAAACAGGTGACCTTGGTGAGCTCTAAACTCGAGCTCGCAATATGGTCACATGATGCTGGTGAGGGTATACGTTGTTTTGACAGGTGTCAATTGACTATAACATGGATGTCCAAAATCAAAGCAGGATGCTATAAACCAAGGTTGCAT